TATATAATATAATGTGTGTCTATTTACACGTGACTTTAATTTTCGCAATATTTTTTATCTCTAATCTATATCCCCCGATTAGCACCGTGACAAAAAAGGGTGTCACAATATTCCCTGTTTTTAAAATCCAAAATAAATTAAGGCAATCCATCAAATCTAAGCTAATATGAGTTCGACTCGTGCTCGTTGGTCGTCAAATCATATCAAATCACACACCATCGATGAAAATTTCATTAGTTTCTTCTTTACGGGACTTAATTTGGTGGGATCAGGTGCCAAATGATGACGGATTGTGATTGGAAAAGATTTTTTGTGGCGTATGACATTATGATAAGAGGATAATTTATAGGATTTTATTTGATGAAAAATAATAATCGATTTTGTTTTAAAATTGTACACCTAGTTATACCATACATGGACCTGACTTCGGGCAGACTTCTATTAATTAGGTACAATTTTTAGATTGTTACTCTGAAATTGAACTTTTTTTCCAAGTATCAAAAGAGTAGTGTGTGATTAAAATCTTTACCGGTGTTACCCTTGTTAGATTTGTTCAGTAATTGATTTCATACGAATTATTTGTGAAGCAATTTAGGAGGCAAGTGCGTGTAATTGGAGCAGGAGCGTTTATTGGTTTCCCATGAAATTGGACAAACTGTGGGAGCAAATATTGATCCAAGGTCTATACACACACACACATATGTATATATATATATATATATATATATATATTTTTCAATAGTCTTGAATTTGATGTTGATATATATGTTTAATTTGAGTTTAATATTCGGGCGTAACATCAATAAAAATAATATTTTTATTGATGTTACGCCCGAATATTAAACTCAAATTAAACATATATATATATATATATATATATATATATATATATATATAAACTTAAATTTTTTTGTTCGACATTGAAACATATTCTGGAAATTTTTGATTTGCATCCAAATAGTCAAGTATGCATTGATATTTCTTTTTGTTTTATCTTCTACGTAAATCTTCTTGTAAGATTTTTCAATTTTGTAAAACATTTTTTTCCAGTTTGTTTAACGTGCTGAATGATGACAGACATACAGTGCCGAAACGTACATAATAAATAGTGAAATATACATATCAATCAATAAAAAAACTTACATTTTTCTAATTTAATTAAAATAAAATAAAAAATATGACTAATTAAAGATATAATGATAAAAATTCATATATATTTTCAAGCACTGAAATTTGGCAATACAAATTTTTATTACTTTGTAATGTGTCGAAACATAATTCAAAAACTAACTACATATTTGTATTTCAAAGTTAAAATAAAGTATAATCTTCAGCAAAACGTCTTTTGATTAACTTTTCTTCAAAATACGAAGATATATAGTTTTGTTAAATAAGTCTATTCTGTATTTTTCATCAGTTGAAATAATCGACTTAACAAAATCTCAGACAGACTTTATATAAAAAATAAAAAACGTGACTAGATAATTATGAATATTAATATTTAGCAATCATGCTCTTCAATTCACATAACTTTCTTTCACATAAGTTATCTTTTTTGTCCGTATTTTACCCAATAATTTTTATCTCCCACAATGAAAAACGAATTAATATCATATTCAATTCCTCCACGTTGTAAAAAATAGGAAAAAAAATATCATTTAAAAAACCCAGTCGTTCAGTTTTCTCGTTTTTTTATTAACAGAAATTAAACGGGCTGTCAATTAATCGATAATTGATATTGAATTCGATTGCCAACGGATTTTGAATGGTTTGAATTGGATAAAAAACTAACTCGATTCGAATGAAAAAGGATAAAGGATGAAGGATTTCGCCGATTTGGATGTTTGAAGAGGAATTAAATTTTTTTGGAACAAAGTGATTATATGACTGAAATAAAAAAACTGATAAAGATTTTATATACGAGGAAAAAAATGCAAAACTAGTTTGAATTCGACTTATATTTTCTTTTTGAAGACCCATATGTTTACATCAGAAATCGGTTTCCGATGGTTTCCGATGGTTTCCGATGATTTTCGTGACGCGTGCGTGACGGAAGTCCGACACGTGACTTCCGTTTCGTCACCGATCTTATTACACGCACATTACACGCATTTCAACACGCCCCCAAAGTAATCTAATTTATTTCTTACATTTGCAAAACTAATATAGTTGTAAATACATCACATAAGTGCGGAATCTAGTTTGGGAAGAACAGATTTCAAAATTTCAAAAAAAATCTCAATTTCCAAAAATATACTAAAATTATTTTTTTATATATTGAAAATGATTCGGATTTTAATTTTAAGTCTAGCTTAAATTTTAAAGCTCAGTTATATGCTTGAAATAAATAATTTATTTTTGCAATTCAGTTTATATATTTAGAAATATGAGATAAGGTCTTTCATTCTAACTCCGCTTGATCAAGTTATTAGAGTTTTTCGTATAAACATTTAAAAACGTTGCCGTACAATGTATAAGCTTTTATGTTTTCTCTATAAAATATGAATAATGAAAGTTACTGTATTTATAGTGAAAACATTTAATATTCCTCGAATATTTATTTATGGTTCGGAAAGTTCATACCCAATTCCAAAGGTGCAAAATAAATACATATTTCAAACACCATATTTGTATTTATATTTAATTTTTTAATTAGAACAAGCAAGATTGATTTGTGCGAAGTTGCTTAAAAATTATTTAAAGACAAATTCATTATACTAAACTAAAATAGAGAAACAATCACAAATGAACTAAATATCTCAAGATTAATCCCGCGCCCCTAGTCCTTTTATTTATATCGTAAAATAAAGAAGAGATTAAATAAACCAAACTAATATAGATATAGAACGAAGTAAAGCGAAGCGAAACGAAACGATGTGAAGTGAGCTGTAGTAGAGCAAAGTGAAGTGAAGTGAGCGTATAGAGAATGGTAATAGGCAGAGAGCTGGGGTTATATTTTCCATCATATCGTTTTTCATTTCATGAGTGTTTGTGTTCGTTCTATCACATCCAGAGTTTTGTTTGCATCACATTTGTTTGTTTCTACTTTCTCAACTTAACCACACTAAAATTTCAAACGTTCTCATTAATTATGTTTCAATCAGAAAATACATAGACAAGATCAGTATAAATAGAACGACGTTAACATTTTTTCGATATCTCTCATATTTCCGACAAAAAGTGAGTTTGAAAAAAGGGGCCACTTTCACATGTCTTCACTGATATCTCGGCCAAATGATGAGCTACGTATTTGAAATTTGATATTTTGAATTTTCTCGAAAATACCTATAAAATGGCATCAAAATTATTTAAATACCAGGGTGGGGCCAACTCTGTATAGAAACACGCCCATACTCTTTCGTTAAAAGTTTTTCTTCTACAAAGGTCGCACCAGCTCTCCCTCTATTAGTAACTTAGCCAACGATCCGTGAAATGGCGTGATGTACGCGTGCACACGTCCGACGTGGCGTTTTCATTTACTACGTAGTACGTAGTACATTCTACGCGGGACGATAACGGGACTACAACGGGACGATGTTGCCTGATGAGAAATTTGCTCGGCAAGTAAGAGATGATAATAAAAGATTGGTATACACAAAACGGGATACAAAAACTGGTAAAAATTGACCGAAATAAAATATGACTTTGACCAAAATGCCACTTACACCTAGTTTTAAATTTATTCTTTTAATTCCCACATTGTCCTCTATCAAATCGTATCAAATGCAAATTGAAATCAAATAAAACGAAATGACCGCCGAGGGAGGAAATTTCGGTGAGAGATTCGACACGTTATAGGGGGGTCGAAGGGATACAAGTTAACACGAATAAAACTACCCCTACTAGATTCACAAAGTTTGCTTTAGTCATTTCACGGTTAATACAAATCGAAAGTAAAAATATTGGGGGTGCATTTTAGAAAGGAAGCCAAATAGTAAAACGAAACAATTATCTTATTTGGCTATTGTAAGATGAAATTATTTACTTTCCGTAGGGAAAGTATAGTAATATAATATAGAAAATGAGGTATAGTAAACATCTAAAAATAAAAAATGGAAACTTTTGCATATTTTCATGTTTTGAAGGTTTCTGAACACTTTGGTGCATCTTAGAAAAAAATGGATGTATGTGCGTGTGTGTGTGCGGATACAAACTTTTGTCGACGATTTCGGGAACACGGATCAACCGATTTGAAGATTCGATTCGTATTGATGGGGAGACGCACTGATTAGTTTTTGGCCAAGGCAGGTTCAGCCGTTTCAGGGATACGGGAATAAAAGCGCAAAAAATGAATATTAAACCTTTTAGAGAACGGATCATCCGATTACAATGATTCGAAAAACATTTTACTTGTATTGACAAAATGAATAATCCAACGGTTTAGGAGATTCAATAAAAAAAGTAAAAGAGTGCGATATGACGGTTTTACACTTTTTGCTCCGAAGCGAAAAAACTAATCAGCACATCCTCCCTATCAATAGAAAGGAATCATTCAAATCGGTTTTCATTTAATTTCATTCATTTAAAAATTTCAAATTACGGTTTAAAATAGTATTATAAAACTTGAATTCAGATCATGAATGTGTCTGTGCATTGGTGTATAAATTACCTCCTAACTTTTCTGAAATATGTGGGACTACGAACCGGCTCGTCTACGCGTAGTCAGTCGGTTAACGATCCGTTAAGCGTGCAGCGTAGCGTTTAATTGCGAAATGAAGATTAACGAGCGCCTCTAGCGGCCGGGGACTCGTTCTGTCTTCATCATCATGTACACACCCACACAGGTGTGAGAAGAAGCAATTTGGAACAATAATAATTTTATACCCAAAGATAAAAAATAGGTAGTTCACTTGAAGGATATTTGTAAATAATTTACTCCAACGTTGCTAGAGGCGCTTGTAGTCGCAGTTTTTTGTAATCTGAATTTACAGTTTTCACAATTGTCTAATCCAATAGCTTTATTTCTCATAATTTAATTTCAAATCCATTATCCCTTTCAGGTGTGGTTCAAGAACCGTCGAGCGAAATGGCGTAAGCGCGAACGCAACGCCATGAACGCTGCAGCGGCCGCCGCCGCGGACTTCAAATCGGGCTTTGGTGTTGCCAACGCACAATTCAACGGTCTGATGACAGCTGCTCAATTTGCAGACACCGAAGCACTGTATTCACCTTATGCCAGCTACGCTGGCGTCAACAATTGGGCAGCAAAAGTCCCACCGAGCCCTTTGGGGGCGAAAAGTTTTCCATGGAATCATCATTTAGGTAGATAATAGACTCTTTTTTTCTGACCAGAATTGTAATTTGTTGTTTAAAATGCAATGTTTTTGTCTTCAGGTAGTGTAGTTCCTACGAATCACCATCATCATCACCAATCGGCGGTGAATTGTTTTAATCCTGTCTCGTCGTCTATAAGTCCAGCAGGTGCTGGTGGTGTTATGGGAGTCACTGGTGGTGTTACTGGTGGTGTTGGTAATTCAGCACCGTGTCCCTATACGACGCCTACTAACCCATACGTGTACAGGTAATTTTTTAAAATTTATTTTGTTCATTTTTTAATTTTTTAAGTAACAATTTTAGTTTCTATAACGTAACAATTTTATTTTCTTCTCATCTCTAGGCAGTTCAACTGACGGTTGAAATAAGCATTTGAATGAATGAGAACATTTTGAGCTGAACTGTCTATCGGTGAGTAATTATTTGTTTTATCGTTTTCTTCATCCATTACATAACCATATTTTTTTCTTTTAAGATCCGAGCCTTCGTGCGTAGCAATGTCTTCCAGCATAGCAAGTCTCCGCCTCAAAGCCAAACAGCACAGCTCATCATTTGTAACATCAACAGGAAATTCATCATACAGCCCTGTTGCCAGCCCCATACAATCACGATCCAGTCCTGGAAGCTCTAGTTTGGGGTCAGCTTTAGGGGCTACTTTAGGATCTGCACTCACTTCCACTTTAGGGACCACTGGATTAGGCAGCAGTCTGAGTGCTTGTCAATACGCTGATAGGGTTGTCTGAGGACACGCCAATAACTTGGATTTTTTTTACCCTACACAAGGATTTGGGATGCAAGCAGATGAATCGGAAATCAGATTGTCTTCCAATTTTGGTGTTGGGATTCCATCCAACGATCTGCACATGAATTTAGGACTTAGATTGCGCAGTGATTTGGGGATGCAAAGTCCCCATACAGAAATTACTAGTCTTGGACAAGACTTGAATGCAACAAAAGTCGGAAGTTTTACTTTAGCAGACGAATTGGGATTATCTGCAATTACCATGCAAACGAATCCTCCTGAAAGTGATTCCAGGGTTGTTCAAAGTGATAGGGATGATTCGAGTGATGATTTGGGAGATTATGAAGAAGAACAATTGTTGAGTGATCAAGATGAGCAGTGAATTTAATCAAAAGTGATCCAAATTATAGTGAAGTTTCAAAAACTCTGTTTTTGGTGGATAATTCAAGATTTAAATTGATCCAGAATTATTGTGTGGCATTTTAATTTCATCCAGATGGAAACTTGAAATTTTTCTAGGGTTTTATATGTGTTGACCAATTAATGAGATCATTGAATGTTCCATGATAATCCAATTCAGATTTCGGCAATATTGGACTAGAAATATCAAATTTGACCAGATAATCCACACAATGAATTTATTGATGAGATTCAAATTGTAGTGAAGTTTTAAAAATTGTTGGTTATTTATGGATGAGCTGTGTAATCAGATTAAAATCTAAATTGTGTCTGAATTTGCAGAAGATCTTGAGGAATTTTAGATCCTGGCATAAATAGAAATCTTTCTTTGAGTAATTTCTACATTGATCAATGCATCAGAAGGATGTTCGAAGTTCTAAGTTAATCAAATTTGTTTCCAATGATTACAATTAATAATGATGCAAAAAACTGTGGCATTATCGTACATAATATTGTGGTAAAAATAGAAATATTTGCGATTGATGGATAAGATCATTAGATACTGGTAATTCCATGTTGGCAAAATTTAGCTGACTGTGTCTGAACTAAATTGTGTCTGAATTTGCAGAAGATCTTGAAGAATTTTACATCCTGGCAAAAACAGAAATCTTTCTTTGAGTAATTTCTATATTGATCAATGCATCAGAAAGATGTTCGACGTTCTAAGTTTATTAAATTGCTTCCAATAACTACAATTGATGATGATATAAAGAAATCTGTGACAATATCGTACAGAATATTGTAGTAAAAATAGAAATTTTGGCGATTAGTGGATAAGATCATTAGATCCTGGAAATTCCATTTTTGCAAAATCAAGATATGACTGTATTCAATATCTGCAATTCTTGCCAGTCAAAATTTTAGATCAAGAAAATCTAAATTCATAACAGGGAAATCCAATAATTCAGCAGTTGGACCAAAAAATCTAAGAGGTTTCCATGGTATCAAAATTTCTATTGAAGAGATCAGTTTGAAAATCAGAAAACTGGTAGTTGGACCATGTCTAAGATGGGCATTTTTCATGATCTTGAGTCTCTGTGTTATAGAACTTATGCTGGTTTTTCGATTTGGTCAACTAATTTTCTCGAATAACAAATGAGGAGATCAATTTGGATTGTTCAAAAACTGATAGGACGACCATATCTAAGATGGATAATTTTTAAAAAATTGATTCACTGTTAACGGAACTTGTCATCTGATTTGATTAGAACTGCAAAAAGTCCATATGACAATCATTGCTAACAATTTACCATCTTATTCCTCGAACTGGTCAACTAATTTTCTCTAACAATCTTATCATGGAAACACAAAAATTTCATCTGGCTTGGCAACCTCGTGAGGATCATAATTTCTGAAATTTTCATCAAAAAGTGATGTGTTTATGATGGTCTATGACCATTTGTGCTTTGAGGACAATTTTTTGGAGACCTCCAATGAAGAAAAAAAGCGTACACGACTTTGGACGGATCGCGAAGTTTGTAAATAAAAGTACGTATGTAAAATATATATTTAGAAAAATAATATTTAGTATGTAATTGAATAAATGTTTCCTATGTTTTTTCATAAAATTAAGACAAAATTTTTTGTCAATTGAAAATTAATTTGTTAAATTTTTCTTATTCAAACTCAATAATTGAATTGAGATAGAATTGATTTATAAGTTGACTTTATTAAAATAATTTCTGCGTGAGTTTGCTATATGAAATAATAATTTTAGGCAAATTATAAAAGTCAAATATATACATAACTTCCAACATCAGCTCTGAAAATCTTTCTGGTCTTTTTATTATAAAACCATTTTACTTTTTTCAATTATAAGCCTTAAATTATTGTTTTATGTAGCAGCACATTTGGTTATTCAGTATAGTTCAATTGAAAACGAAAATTGTTTCAAATTTGTGTCAATCAATTTTATTCAATCATTTCATTCATTAATTTCATACTTATCTTTCACTCTATCTGCAACAACGCACACGTAATTTCCTGCGTTGCCAAATTTCTGCTAATATCATGCATTTTTTATTTAAGAGGCCTATTTTGGAATTAGGTTTTTATCTTACAAATAATTTAAATTATTTTTTCCAATTTATGCTAAGGTAAAAGAAGAGGCTTATAAATAATAAATTTCTACACTTTTGTGCAATTTTAGTTTAATTAATTATTTAATTATTTGCATTGGTACAAATTTTTGTTTTAGTTTTGAAGTTATAAATCGGTGTATAGTAGATAGTAAAAATTAATTTAAGTCTTTAGACGAGTTGTGATAAATCGCCAAAAAATTAAGGGAAATGTAAAAAATAGCACAAGGGAAAAAATTAGTTGGATTTTAATTGTTATTTTATAATTAAGAGTAAAAAACATTTTTGTTGTAATAAAATTAGTGTCTAATTAATATTTGTTCACCATCACTAGTGACATCTGGTTTTGTCTTATCATAATTATTCATCCCACTTCTGATTTGCGCAATGGCAGAACAAACTAGTGTTGCCATAGATCACAATTAACAAATGAAAGAACAAGCTAGTGTTGCCATAGAACAATAAAATGCACGTAGGAGTCGGCGATGATGGCACGAACCACAGTCTCGAAACGTTTGTAAAATAATTTTATTTAATACCTTTATTTTTACTCCTATGCTATTTTTTACAATTTTCTTCCAACAACAACCAAAACATGTACATATAGTCTATTTTACCAAATCCATTTTAGTTAGGACTATTTTTTGGGTCTAAAACGACGACCCCAAAGAATAATATCATGTAAATTACTTCTAATAATACTTAAGAATGGCATTTAATTTAAGATTTATATTAAATTATTCAAATTGTGTAATTATATGATGAAATTGTAACAATAACTTTCAGACTGTAAAAAAATTATGAAAACTAGTAAAGTAATAATATAGTTTAAGTAATAATTAATAGTTGAAATGTTACTATGAAATTCACAGATTTATATGGAAATGGAAGAATTGGAGCCGTTGTAAAGGACGGATGTATAAAAAATAGAGTGAGATTTTTGAATTTTGCTATTAATCTTAAATAATTTTCTAAAATTAGTTTTTTGACATTGTTGCAATGTTACTAATATTTATACTTGTAAAGTATTTATATGAGTATTTTTTCAAGGTTTCTATTTAACAATTTCAAAATAATGTTAATTTAGTAATTAATATTAATAATGTAAATTTTCAATTATTTATTTTATTTTTATTATTCATTTTTTATACATGTCGACCTTTATGAAATTCAAATTTGGCGCCAATATCAAACCAAGTGCAATATCGTAATTTTGATCTCTTCAATCTGGTAACACTGACCGATTAGCATTGCAAATAATAAATTTGACGTAACAGAAATTATAAAATAAATAAAGTTATGATAATTTAATTTTTACAAAACTAGACATTGTAATTTATCAGAAATTAATCAAAATTTAGATTTTAAACAAGTTTGTGGTGATAAGAAATTATAAAATGTGGTTTGTTTATGTTTTTTAAACAATTTTGTAACGTTCAGGTAACCTCAAAATGGAGGTTGAAATGTCAAATAATATTATTTGATTTAAATATTTCTAATAATTTTATTTATTTATTGTCAATTTTATGATTACAATGCTAAGTGGTTTTTGTTTTAAAAAAATGTGCCAAATCAAAACCAAAGAATAAAATTGCCAAAATTATAACTATAGCAATATATAATCTATATATATATATCTATATATATATATATATATATATATATATATCATATCTATTACAAACAGTATTTTGTGAACGAATTCTGATCGTGTGAATAATTATTAAAAAATAGGTTTTTCTAATTGTAATTAAAAAAAATTGTACAATAATAAATGAATAGTGTTAATTATATATATAAAATTATACATAAATTAATATTAAATTAAATAATTATCGATAATATTATCATTGAATTAATGTGCATATCCTTTGTAATAATAAACACGAACAGGATCTTCTAGTCAGAAAATAAAGAAAAATTAAAAAAGATTTATTGAAACTTTAAAACTTGTGCAGTTTTATTTTGTAGAAAAAAATCGTTGTATTTCAGGTTTTGAATTTCTAAATTTTGTAATAAGTTATTTAAACATTTTTGTTAATATAAATTGTGTGGAAAACATGATGAGCTACAAGCTGATAGGGTAAGTCAATAAGAATAATTTTAATAATTTT